GATTCCCATACTACTCCAATCCAGAAACAACCTTAAAGATATATCTACAAAACTATTTAACTGAATTTTTGGGCACTTCATGCCCTGGAAGAGTTGACATATAAAATTAGCAATCAAGGTTATTTTGAAAACTAATGAACTTAAGTAAAAAATAATTTAAACATCTGTGGAAATGTTTTAATATATAGGCAAGGGGGAAAAGCTATAATGATATCAGCCTGAAGTTACTGCTGGTTCTAATTAAGTCTTTCTAAGTACAATGATTTGAAAAGAGGTTCTTTATACTACATTAGTTTATGCTGATCCATATTTGGATTTTATTAATTGATTGAATTCAACAAAATGATTAACAGAAAGTTAATTTAAAATAATCATAACATGCCCATACTCCAAAATCATTAATTTGCTCTGCTATTCACAAAGGAGGAAGACTAGAAGTTTGATATATTTAAATACAGCTATTTATTAATTCTGAGTTTTTCACAGGAAAATTTGTAGACTTTTTTTTTTTTTTTTTTTTGTAATGAAGATACTTAATACCATTTCTTGTTAAGGCTTTTGAAACAACTTTGGTGTTTTAAGTCTCAGGATGTTAAAATCAAGTTGCCTAAATGGCCCCTTCCCTAGTAAGGACTAATAGTGTTTGCAGGCAAATGGGGCAGCAAATGGAGCTTGCATTGCCTTTCTCCCTAGAACAGGTCTATCTATGGCTTTCATGTGTCTTTTATTCACCACTGAAAGTACTGTGAATTTCGGAATTGTTTGATAATTTAAGTCTGTTTTATTTTCTTTCACCTATGAGCTGTTTCTCTAGCCCATGAACATAGGTTTGAAAGTATACCCTTGTGATGGACCCATTGTCTTTGTATTGGGGTGTTCATTTGTTCTGCTCAGATTCCCGATCCATTTTTCTCTTCCTTCTGGTTGTTTGGGCTAAGGGTCTATCAGTCTTCTTTGTATTCTCCAAGGATCCGCTCTTAGATTCATCACTTCTTTGTATTGTTTGTTCCTACTTCATTAATTTCTGCCCTTGTTCTTACGATTTCTTCCCATCTACTGGGTTTGGATTTGGTTCTTGTTTTTCCAAACTCTTGATTTGCATCATTAAGCCATATATTTGTGTTCTTTCTGATCCTTTAGTGTAGGTGCTTAGAGCTACACATTTTCCTCTTAAGAGTGTATTTGATATGTCCTGTAAGTTCTGCCATGTTGTGTTTTTACTTCTGTTTATTACCAGGAATTTTATTTTCTTCTTGATTTTTTACTTGACAAATTCATTATTCAGTTGCTGTGGAATAAATTCTTCTGTATACTGTGTGAATACATGTTGCTATGATTGGTTTAATAAGCAATCTGACTGGCCAATAGCTGAACGGGATAAAGCTAGGTGGGAAAGCCAACCAGAGAATGATGGGATGAGGAAGGGCAGAGTCAGAGGAGTAACTAGGCAGCCACCAAGGAATCAGGATGTGTAGAAAATAAATGAGTTAACAAACCATGAACCACATGGCAAAGCATGGACAAGAAGTATGGGTTAATTTAAAGTTTAAGACTTATAGTATATTATTTAATCTCCATAAATTAGGTAATTTCTAGAGATTCTTTTGCTATTGATTTTAAGCCTTACTGTACTGAGGTCAGATAGTAGACACAGAATTAGTTCAGTTTCATGGTATTTGTTGAGGCTTGTTTTGTGCTCTAGAATGTGATCTATTTTAGTTCCAGAACTGCTGTATAAAAATATTCTTTGATGTTTGGGTGTAAGATTCAGTCTACTGATATCTATTAGATTGATTTGATAGATAATATCATGTAATTTTGATGTTTCACTGTTTATTTTTTTGTCAAATGACCTGTCTATTATGGTAAGTTATCTGTATCTTCAAGACAATAGTAGCTACTTATGAAATGGGATGAGCCAGAGTTTGATGCATATATGATTAAGCTTGTAATGGCTCCTTATTTAATTATTCCCGTGGTCAAAATACTTATTTTTTATCTCTTCTGATTAATTTTGAAGTCTACTTTTTTTTCAGCTATTAGAATGAGGATACCTGCTTGTTTCCTGGTACCATTTCCTTGAAATACATTTTTTTCCTATTCTTTCAGTTTAAGGTGTTGCTTATCCTTGAGTTAATGAATTTCTTGTGGACAATAAATAGTTGGCTTTTTCTTAATCCATCCAACTAACTTGTATCTCATGATTGGGGAGTTGAAGCCACTAATATTTAAAGGTCTTATATAAAGTTATGCATTGAATGTTGTCATTTTATTGTATTATTTTGCTGTTTCTGTAAATCTCTTTGTGTCTCAGTAATTATAACCTTCCTTTCTATGATCTCTTGGCTTTGCTTATTCCTCTCTTTAGTCTGAAGCATCTCTTATACTAGTCTCTGTTGGGCTGGGTTGGTGAACATGAATTCCTTTAGCCTGTTTATAACACAACATGGAAAGTTTTTTTTTTTTTTTCCTCTTCAAATACGATAGTTTCAATGGATAAAATTGTCTGATTGGAAACTGTGGCAGTTTAGAACTTGAAGTATAATGCTCCAGGCTTATCTAGCTTTTAGAGTTTCCATTTAAGAGTCAGCTGTTATTCTGATGGGTTTTCCTTACATGTGACTCCTGACTTCTCTCGGGCAGCTTTCGATGTCTTTTCTTTATATGTTTAGAGTTTTATTATAATATAATATTAAAAGACTCTTTTCTGTACTTGCTGTCTACTTGGTGTTTTATGTGCTTCATGCATCTCCATGGCTCTGTCTTTCATTAATTTAAGGAAGCTTATTTTATGCTGTCGAAACTGTGGTCTAGCCCACTGATCTGGCACTCTTTTCATACTACTTTACTTATAATGAAACAATTTTGTCTTTGCCTGGTGTCATGAATATTCCTTTCCCATATTTTTAAAAATTTGCCTTTTTTAAAATTAATTGGTTCAATCCCTCTACTTTATCATCAAGTTCTGATGTTTTGTGTTCTACTTGATCCATTCTACAGCAAAGGCTCACCCTTAAAGATTCTGATTGGATCTTTAAATTTTTCATTCTGTCTTCATTCAGCTTGGGTTTTTTTTTTTCAGTATTTCTACCTTTTTATTGCATTCCACTTTCAAATCCTATTTGTAATTTCATTCAACAATTTGTTTGCATATTCTTGAACTTTAATTAAAGTTTATTTCTGTCTTTATGTTCATCTGTGTGTTTGCTTGTGTCTTCCTGAGTTCTTTAATGGTGTTTATGATTGTTCTTTTAAATTTTGGGTTCTAAAGTTCATCTAGGTCATACCTGTTGGGGAATTTTTCTACATAACCACATAACTACATAAAAGTCTTTAAGGGGACTGTATTTTATTGATCTTTCATATTGTTTATGTTTTTGTATGGGACTGCAACATGTGGATTTATTTTATTGGTTGCAGGTCTGATATGAGATTCTGACCTTGTTTTGGCTGGAGATTTGTTTCTATTTGTGCTGTTGCCAGAACTTGGTTGATTTCAGTTCAGGTAGGAGGAGTGATTAGTCCGTCAGCTTCTCGGTGTTGATTATTGATTGGAGATCCTGGGGGTGATTCCAATTAACTGGCAATTAGTATGACACAGGAGTCTTAAGGTTACTCAAGAATGCTTGGTTGAAGTCCAGCAAAGTCCCCTAGAGCACTTCCTAGCTCAGGGAAAGGGGCCAGGGCTCCCTGGAAAATGTGGCTCTGGTTGGACCTGGGCTTACAAGGCAGCACACAGGTTTTAAAGGGCACCTGGACCCTGTTCGAAATCAACAGGTTATCATTTGGATATGGATTCTATGGGAGCCTGGCCAAGAGACCTTACAGAAATACAGTCTACATTGGCCTTGAGAGGAAGGATAGAGGCACAGCAGTGGTATGAAATAAGGGTCCTGGGTTAGACTTAGCAAGAGAACTCACAGATGCAGTTCCTGCATGAGCTTGGGCATTGCAGGAAGGGGAAGAAAGTAAATCATACCAGCAGAGCCCACAGATTGACTCCCACTGGGACTAAAGTAGTGGCAAGGAGTGAGGGTGCTTTCTTTTAGATATTATTGCCCTATACTTGGAATTGAATTGTTTTAATTAGAACAGGGGTATTGGTAGTAGAACCAAAAAGAGAAAGCAAAGATCTGTTTATTAAGAAAACATTTTATAAGCCAGGGAAAGCAAATAAGGACTTTATAAAGCATAGTGGCTATAGATGATAAAAAGCATAGGTAAATACTAAATACTAATAATTTAACACTTCTTTCTGTGTGTTTGAGTGTTTTATATAAATGTATGTGTACCACATGCATGCCTAGTGCATGTGAAGGTCAGAAGAGGGCAAAGGTACATCTGGAACTGGAGTTACAGATAGTCATGAGTCATCATGTGGATATTGGCAACCAAATTCTGGTCATCTGCATTTGCTGCAAAGGATCGTAATGCAGCACCATCTTTCCAGCCCCATGAAACACTTCAGACTAAGCTATAGTACAAGGGGAGACTTGAACTATCTCTTTCCATTTTACTGAGAAAGAAGCAATTGAAAAGAAATATCTGACATATTTTTGTACTCTCTATGTACATCACATCTTTATACTTTAAATCTTTTCCTTAGTGTTCTTTTGAACTAGATTAGTTATCAGTTCTAAGATGTTTTCCTCATATTTTAATATCGTTGGCTTAAATATATCTTTTAACTGATAAATACTTAAAATTATAATTGATTACAACAAAACTTATTGTCTTCTATAGTTCATGGCAACTTTGTAACTCAAAGGACAGTAATAGATATATGAATGAAGATTATATGAATGAAATAATTAATAAATGAGATTATTATTTCTACTTTCAATGTAGTGTTTGTACATCATAGATATTTAGGCAGTACAACAGTTGTTAATCTTTTTGCAAATCTTTTTAGATGTAAGTCAAAAACTAAATCAGTTCAAGTTTTTCTTAATTACTACTTCTTAATTCAATGTAACCTGCTCTGTTTATTTACCTTCTAGGTGAAATTGACCTTCAGATTCTCTCCAAAGTCCAGACTCAGTACCCAGGCATCTGTATCAACAATGAAGTTGTTGAGCCAAGTGCTGAGCAAATTGTCAAGTACAAAGGTATGTGCTCAATTCTATCTCCGGAGGCCTATCTTCTCATTTTGTTTGTTTGTGGGTTTCTTTGTGTGCCTCAAGTGGTTAATTGCTCACTGACCACTATGTATTTGGAGAAAAATCTAATTAATTCTTGGCAGGCAGGGGTGAACATCTGAAACTACTACTTCTTTTATTGACTGCATGCATTAATCTGTTTTGTATTAAACTTCTATTCATAAAATTCTGTAGTTGATTTCATCTTTATACTAAAATAATATAATCTATATTTAACCATATTCTCAAGTTTATTTCCTAGTTTTTCCTTTCTCCTCCAATTTTGTCAAGTACTAGGAAAAAATCAGTCTAGACAAACCTTCTGATTTCCTTAGCTACTTAATAAAGAAAAAATAACATGCCTTTTTTCTGTCCTTCTATAGGGTTGTCCAATAGAACAGAACTGGTAGAATTAATCTATATCTATTAAAATGGGATGTAGTAGAGTGGCTTACAGGCTGTGGTCTGGCTATTTCAATAATTGCTTCCAGATACAAAGGTCAAGAATTCAGTAGTTAGTTTGTCAGCCCATAAGGCTGAACGACTTAGCTAGTCTTCAGTTTGTGTTGGAATCCCAAGAAATACGCCGTAATACTTATAAAAGTAAAATGGGCAAGCAGGCCAAAAGCAAGACGATTCATTTTTCACATCCATTCATGTGGGCTGTCACCAGAACATATGGTCCAGACTTAGGGCATGTTTTCTGTCCTCAGATGTTTCAGATTTAGGGACAGTCTTCACAATCCTCCACAGGTGTGCCCATCTTATTGGTTATTTGTTGATTTCAGAAGTAGTCAAGTTGACAACCAAGATTAGCCATCGATGTCCCATAACACTTACCACATTAAAATTCTAAATTCTAAATAAAAATGGGTTCCATATATAATTAAATTAAAATTGATTATAGGCCACCTTTTCTGGGTATTTTAGAGCGTGTAGCCAAGACATCAAATATGGAGAATGTAAAATTTGCTTGGCACGAGGAGACATCATCTGAATATGAAAAACGAATGCTGCAAGAAGAACCTAGAAAGTGGGACTTTATTCATATGATTCAGGTAAGAAATAGTATCATAATATGCTGCCAAAAAAAAAAAAGATGTTTCCACAAATTTGCATGAAGAATGCATATTATTTTAATGTTCTAAAATGAAATTTTTTGGTTTCTAGTTTTATGTGAATATTTCTGCCTAAAAAAGGTATTGATAAATACAAAGACTCTTTGACATTTAAAAGGGCAGTTGTTTATTATCTGCAGAGTAATAATATATTCTAGCTTTTGGTCTAGATGACCAGTTTATATGAAAATGTTCCAGACTTTTTCTGAATCCTCTTGGTTTTTCCAGTAGTTGGCATCTTCAATAGTATGTATGTAATAGAAGGGGCATGTTTTATAAGATTAGATCAACATGATGTTACTTACATTAGCCAGTCATTTAGGAGGACTTTATTTCCATGATTCAGCAGCAATGGACTAACACGCAATGATTATTGAGTACATGGCATGATCACTGAAATTTCTAGATAGTAAAGAGTATGTTGGTATTAGAAGATGGTTAGTGTTAGGTTAGTATTAGTTTTAGGTAAGTATTAGCAGAGCACTTAATTGAATCCATAATCACAGTGACTTCAGAGAACTAACAAGCAATGATTATTGAGTACATGGCATGAGGTGTCAATTCTTAGCATTAAAGAAATTTCTGGATAGTAAAGAGTATGTTATATTAGAAGATACTTAGTATTAGGTTAGTATTAGTTTTAGGTATTAGCAGAGCACTTTTTGAATCCATAATCACAGTGACTTTAGAGGAGTACAATGATAAGAAGCAAAAGAAAAAGTCGAGTCTAAAGTAAACACATTTAAACCGCCCAAGCCTCTGTTTCCTTAGAAAACAAACATTTTGTCTGGAAGGAGACATTTAACTAACATGTCCAGAAATCGTATGCTATCTCTCTAGATGTGTTTTCCACCCTCATGAAACCATTTACTAGTCTCCCTCTCCTAACTCCTACAACTGCCTGTGATGAGTCATTCCTAACTGACCACTTTACTTCATACTCTTTTGAAGGAAAAAGCCCACTGAAAATTAATCTTTTACTCTCTGTCTTAGTCAGTGTTATATTGTTGTGAAAAGATGCAGTGGCCATAAGCATTCAATTATATGAGCCTGTGGGGACCATTCTTATTCAAACTAACACATTCCACTCCCTGACCCTCATAGGCTTGTAGCTGTATTATAATGCAAAGTGTATTTATTTCAACTTCAATAGTCCCCATAGTCTATAGTGGTCCCAACACTATTTAAAAAGTTCAAAAAGCTTTTCTGAAACTCAAGGAAATCTTGTAACAACCTGTGAAATTAAAGTATAAAAACAGATCACATACTTCCAACATATGATGGCCTAGAATATACATTATGATCCCATAAGGAGGAAAAGGGGGCATAGTGAGGAAATAATGAACCAAAGCAAGTTAAAAAAAAAAAAAAAAAAACAGCATACTGCCTCTCCATTTCTGATGTCAAAATGCTCCAGATCTCCAACTGCTTTCAGCTTTGTTGACTAAAACATACTTCTCTGTCTTGGACTGGTTCCATACTCTTTTAGCATCTCTCCTCAGCAGGAATCACATACCTCTGGCACCTCCAACATCTTTGGGTCTTCAGGCAATCCACACAGCTTCATACGATTGTCTTCTGGACTTCCATGCAGAGACACCCCTGGCATATGCCTGGCCTCAAGGGCTTTCCTTAGTCTTGGAGACAGAGTCTGTAACCCCTTTCTTGTATCCTTGACTCTAAAGCCAGAATCATGTGGCCAGAACTGCTAAATTCTGCTAGTTGCTGTGACTGGAACATGGTTCACTTCTTATTTATTTGTTTATTTATTTTTAAACCAGGTTTCTGTTTTCATGGTTTCCTTCACTGCCTGATCTTTTCTGTAATTCCCTTTCCAATGATGGAAGTTTAGCTGGATTAGGTCATGCCCTGAGGTCATCACTCCCTTTATGTATTGGAATCAGGATTTTCTTTAAAAATTTTAATCTCCTTCAGCACTGGCCTTATCTTAATTATACTCCTCAATCTCTAAACAATTTTTCCTTGTTTAACTTGCTTCTTTTAATTATATACCTGCCTAGTAGTGGCCATTAATAATCAAGCAACACAATCAATACCAGGTTGTTGTGAAATCTCCTCTGGCAATGCTGTTAACCCAAAATTCTTCAATTTAGCCTTGGACCGTTTCTTTGGACACATGCAGAAAACAGTCACATTCTTCACCAACTATCACAAGAATAGTCTCTTGTCCAATAAATGATGTTCTTCTCCTCTGAAGCCTCTTGAGCCTAGTGTTCATAGTCTACATTGTTCTCAGTACCTCTGTTCTCCATGCTTCTACTAGTTTGGCACATTAAGCCATACTGAAACGTTCAACTGCTTTCCTACTATGAAGGCCCCAAGTCCATATTTTTCCAACAAGCAGCATGGTCAGGCCTCTCACAATACCCCATTCCCTGGTACCAACTTCTGCCTTTGAGTTCTATTGCTGTAAAGAGACACCATGACCATCACAACTTCTATAAAGGGAAACATTTAACTGAGGCTAGCTTACAGTTTCAGAGATTAGTTCATTATCATTATGTGAAGCATGGTGGCATGCAAGCAGACATGGTGGTGAAGAAATACCTTCACAGTTCTACATCTCGATCCTCAGGCAGCAGAAAGAAAACAAAACTAAACAAAACAAAAAAACCACCAGGCATGGCATGGGCTTTTGAAAATTCAAAGCCCACTCTCCAGTGACATACGTCCTCTAACAAGATCACTTCTACTAGAACAAATAGTGCCACTCCCTAAGCATTCAAACATCAGTCTATGGGAGCCATTCTTATCCAAAACCATCACACCCTCTGCATTTACAACCGCAGCATATGTGTACATTGTACCTGTGTCTCCTTCTTGCTGTAAATCAAAACCATTTCCTCTACTTCTGCATTGTAGCCTGTTCTTCTCTCTGGTATGCAATGCTGTGGCCTTAAGAGATTTATATAGTTCTCTTAGAACTTTCACATTTGTTTTCTTTCTTTCTTAGAGCAAAAGTCTATTCTCTTTAATTTCTCATATACTCTGAACTTGTTTAAGTTATGTTTCTTACTGCTGTTTCTAATCCAAACATTCTTATGACATGTTTTCACTTTGCAATTTTAACCTAAATATCCCAGTGTGTTTTAGATAAAAGTTCAGAGAATCTCTTGTGACCAACAGCCTCTTTTTATCCTGGTCATGCCATAGATTATTTGTCATCATATGAATTTGCTGCATTTGGGTGTCTATGGTAAACTGCATGGAGAAACTTGATGGTAATCATGGCTCCTAAAGTTATATAGGCCATATGCAGGGTCATTTTATTTCATTCATTAATGTGGGGAAAATCATAACTAAATTATTTGACCTTTTTACAGTGACTTCTGTTATGGCCATACTACATGGAAAATTGAATTCTTGTCCAGGAGATATAAGTGTGAGATATAAAAAGTATCTGTTGGGTAGATTCTGTACTGCCTAAAGGATACACATCATTAAGGTTTATATTGACTAGAAAAGCCTGCACTTGACTAGGAGTTGGTCTAGAACTATTAAAATTGGGTTGACTAATCCCTAATGCCCTGCGACCAAAAAAACAAAAGAAAACAAAGAAAAACACAAAAAACAAACAAACAAAGAACCCAAAACCAAAACCATTACTTTATATTTTCTACTGTTCTAGAGAACCTAAGCATGTCATAGCCTGTCCCTTTATGTATGTGTGTGGTTTACAAAAGGAAAATTTGTATGTGAGGCTATGTAGAATCTTGTCAAAAGGCTGGATTTTAAAGTAATATACTAGGAAATAGAGTTTCTTTTATTTTACTAACACCATCTTCTTTTATAAGTGCTAAAACTCACAAAATGAGAATAGGCACAATATTATTTTCCACTTGTAGAACAAAGTTTAAACATCTGTAGTTACAGATGCATATGGTCTTTGTTACAAAAAGAGGAAACTAACTTTAAAAGTTTTTTACTGTAGGACTGAGGATGAAGCTCAGTGGTAAAGTGCATGCCTAGCATATTCCAGGCCCTAGGTTCCAGCCTCAGGACTGGTAGAGGGAAAAAAGGCAACAAAAGCTATTAACCTATAGGTGGGCAGATGGCATATTTGCCCTTCCCCAAATGTCTTATGGTCCTAACTCTCTAGCATCTCTAACCTTTAAACATTTAAAGTTTTTTCCTGATAACTATTCGCTCAATGTGAAAAACCCAAGCTTCTACTGAGTATCTAGTACAAACATACAAACTGTGTGATTCAAAACAAGATAGAGAAGCATCTCATTTCTTCTTTCCCTCCCACCTAGATGCTGTATTATGTAAAGGATATCCCAGCTACCCTGAGATTCTTCCATGGTCTCTTAGCTGCCAATGCTAAGATTCTTATTATTCTTGTGTCAGGTAAGCTATGTCAACCATGTGGATGTTAAAATAGTAATTATGAATATATACATGGATTCGTTTATAGATAAAGCTATTATATTTTGTTATTGTTATGGAATTCATTTTAAATTATTTTTTAAACCAAAACAATGCTCACACAATGCTCAGTTTAGAGAACCTATTGGAATCAAAATCTCTTTGCTACACTCTATTCAGAAAAATGTTCTTACATTAGGGAATGACTCAGTGGTTAAGAACACATTTCTTTTGTAGAGGACTGCAATTTGGTTTCTATCACTTACTTCAGGCAGCTCAATAATGCATGTAGACACACACACTGTAATAGAACCTTACAAAAAAGAAATTTCTTTGCCTTCTACATATGTGTCTGCTCTGGTTACTTTTCTGCTGCTGTGAGAAAACACTGACCCAAACCAACTTGGGGAGAATAAGGGGTTATTTTGGCTTACAGTTTATACTTCCATCATTGAAGGAAGTCAAAACAAGAACTCAAAGCAGGAACCTGGAGGTAGGAACTGAAGAGAGACGATGGTGGAGTGCTGATTACTGCCTTGCTTCCTACTGCCCACCTGTACATTGATAGCATTATCCAAACTGGGCCCTCCTACATTAGTTCACAATTAACAAATTGTGCCTTTTGGACATGCCCACAAACTCATCTGATAGGAGAAATTCCTCGGTTGAGAATTCTTGTTCCAAGGTATGTCTCAATTTGTGTCAAGTGTCAAAAACTATGCAGCACCAACCACATTGTTTTATAGAACAAAAAGTTCAAGAAATAGTATTTTTAATGTGAGAACAACTACATTTATTATGTTTACCTATTTTATGTCACTTTAATGTCTTTTCCCCATCTTTGAGATTTGCTAATAAGTAAATAAAATTTTAAATATTTTGGCCATTAATTTGCATTTCTAAAACCATTAGCAACATGGCTCATTATAACTAATTTTATATATACCTATAAAATTATTCATTTGTTTTATTTTGTGGTGTAGCACCCATGCTACAATCTGTTCCATGAATCGAGCTAAGGCCTAGAGATTGATATAAAGAGACAAGACAGCGAGTCATGTGTTCAATGGCAATGTCAGACAGGCTTAAATACTGACTTTTATAGCACAGTGGAAAATAACAGGATTTTTAGGCTTAGCTCCTCCCTACAAGGGGTGTGTTATCATGAAGTGTGTGTTATCAATACGGGAAGAGTACCGATAACAGCTTTGAGGCAAGGAGTTCTGGCCAACAGCTTCAGGCTTGCTTAAGGTGCCTTGGGGGTCCATGCAGGGCCCTACATTGTGGTATAGTTACATTTTTCAGAGAGGACATTTAATTAGTTTGTTGCTTCTGGGGTCATGATACATAGGCAAAAGTTAGAAAATGAAACACTGATATTAAGGTCATTCATAAGATTTTACTATGTTGTGTAGGTTGGATTCTAAGTACCAGAGTGTTATGGGTACCTGCCACTATGCCCTGTCTCTGTAGTACTTCTTCCATGGATGCCTTGGATTGTCTAGATATTGCTAGATGATTCATGTCTAAAAACACCACAGTCCTTATCACCATCACCAGACAATAACTCTATGCACTGAAACTGTTTGCCACAATGTTTGTCTTCCCATATAAGGAATGATTTTTAAAATGGCAGGTACAGTCGTTTTTTATAATCCCAGACTTTACTTGCATACAACTGACTCCCTAAGCGAACATTCTGATGTACTATTTTTACCTCTAGTTAGTTCAAATTGCTCATGTATTTGGGAGTGGTCTGGTTTTCCATTTTGAAGGGATTATGTAAATTAAATATTTTCTGCTAACCTATATCTAAATTAGGACACTTGGTTTCCGATGTTGTGGGGAATCTATTTTTGTGATCTGTATTAATAAAACAGAAACACTGTTCTGAACGGAAATCTATCCTGAATTGACAAACTTCATATTAGTAGAGTTCTACTAGTGGATCTGACATTTTGAGCAGTTAAATATTTGAATGCTAGGTATTTTCCAATAAGAAAAAAAACATTATTATATGCTCCAAAATATGGTATAAGTATGGTCTATGTACATTTTAAAATTGACCAAGCACCTTTGTAGAGACTATAGTCTGCTGCAGCATAGAGTTACTATAACCCAAGAAATCTGAAAACAAAACAGGACCAGGGGAAGGTATGAAGACACTTGGGGTATGAATACTAGTGTACTTCCTACATGTATGAACTTTGCTTACAAGCCTTAGTTAACTTTAGGCTATTTGTGGACAGCCAAACCCATGTTATTTGTATGTGCCCATACATGGGATCCAGATGAGGTCTGTATATTTTTATATGGAACCAAAAAGATAGTAAAGATAAGTAACTTTTAGAAATAATTTTTGAGCCAGAAATTATTCAGTCTGTACCCTTCAGATGGTAGAAATAGTTTTCACATTTTTAACATAATTCACAAGCTCTTTCTACTGACTGAAGGATAAGAGGTTGTTGTCTGAAAGAGGTAAGCACTTTTAATCAATATAATTCCTAGGAATGAGAATAAACACCTAAGAGTGTTCATTTCATTAACTGGAACTCAAATGAGATTGTCCTATTTTCACAGTCACTACTTCGTGGGAGATGGTTTTACCAGAGATGAAATGTCATATTAATTTCTTTTTAAAGGAACCACCAAGTAAAATGAGAAAAAAATTCAGAAATTTGCTTGTATTTGTCAGAAATATTAAATAGATTAGATATAAAATAAAATATATATTTTCAAAAAATCACCTTTTCTAATAGTTTGCTTTGCAGTTCAAGAAGATATTTGACCTGAGGAAAAAAATAGTACTGCCAAATATGTTAGTCATTTTTCATCAGTTTAGTCAGTTAATTAGACTGTTCCTAGTTTCCCCAGCCATCCTCTCACACATAACAGTTAAAACACAGAGTAAATGCCTCTAGTTTTTATCTCGAGCATCTTGAGTGATCCCCTCCCCATCCCTGCCCTGGAACTTTACTGCTGTTTCACATCAGAGATGCTTAGGACCTGAGGAGAGTGAAGATCGGTGTCTTTGCCTCTCAGTCCGTTACTATACCTTTGTGGAGCCTTGATTGCACAGAAAATGCTCAGTGAGTCTTTGGATTCCACTGAATAGTTGTTTATTTGTGCTTTGTGATACCAGAACTACAAGGTTATAAAAGTCCCCCCCAAAGAGGAGAATATTATTCATCTAAGAATGACTACACATAGAACACAGAAACTGTATGCACATGCGTTTACATTGAAATAAAAGGCTCAGTGAACTATAAACATACATTCTCATGGGCATATATGCTGGATGTGGGATAATCAGACAAAACCATGTAGGATAAACAAGTAAAACAAATTAAGATAAGAAAGACAGGATGAAATCAGAATAAAATCTGGTCATTTAGTGGTCAGAGTACTGTAAGTAATCTTATGTTTTCTTTTGTGTTGCTATGCTTCTGTTATAGAGCAAGTTCAACTCAGTAAATATTCACTTAGTGGTAACTAGCAGAATTCTTTGATTATTAATATGAAAAACTGAAATGAAAAAGAAGAGAAATAAGTACAAAATAATTTTGTAAATGAGAGTATTGTATACTAAAATATTTCACGGATAGGTTTTCACTCCTTCCCCCTAATCATTCAACTCCATTTTTTTTTTTTTTTGTTTTGTTTTTTGTTTTTTGTTTTTTGGCTTCCTGGTCAGTTCTTAACTGTAACAGCCTTGCATTGGCTTCAGATCTTTGTAGTTGTTCTTCCCATCTGGAGTAGCCTTCCTGATGTCTAAATGGCTGCTACCAGATTGTGCTCAAATGTCACCACATTAAATAAACTCCGTGATCACCATAGGTAAAAAGGAGTGCTCAAATGTCTCTGGCTATCCTTATCACTTATCTCTGATGTTTTTCAATTACACTTTACATCATATGATATATATTTAGTTACTGACTTAATTTTCTCCATGCTTTTGTTATGTTACTTGGCTTAAGCTCTACAGAGGATATGAATATTATTTTGTTGATTGTTCTATTCTAAATGTCTAGTATAATGACTAGGAGAAACTAAATGAAAGACAAAATAAAGAAAACATGAACTTTGTTCTTTTGCATAGGAACTAGTGGCTGGGACAAGCTATGGAAAAAGTATGGACCCCGCCTACCCAGGGATGACCTCTGCCAGTATGTCACTTCCTCTGATCTCACTCAGATACTGGACGAACTGGGGATTAAGTATGAGTGTTATGACCTTTTGTCCACTATGGACATAACAGACTGCTTTATTGAGGGCAATGAAAATGGAGACTTGCTTTGGGATTTTTTGACAGAAACGTGCAACTTTAGCAAAACAGCACCACCGGATCTTAGAGCAGAAATTATGAAAGATCTTCAAGAACCTGAATTTAGTGTTAAGAAAGAGGGGAAGGTACTTTTTAACAATAACCTGAGTTTTATAGTGGTTGAGGCATAACTATAAGTCATGAGTGTTCAGAACTTATATTTTGAACAATTGTTTATTATATATTGATTTACATATCACACACATATTTACATACTAAAGGAAAAATTAATCTTATAGTAAGTAAAATATACATTCTTTTCTCTTATAAATGATATCTACAAACTTACAAGACATTCTTGGGTTTCCACCAGAATCATGTGGGTTACTTCCAGTTATATCTTGTCTAGTTAAACACTACCTAACTGAAAACATATGGCTTGAGTTTCATTGGTTTACTGATAATAAGATCCTTTCCATTTTCTTATTGTACTGGAAATTCTTACAGTAGTAAAATATGTGCCATCTATATTTTGAACAACAGCAAAGTGACATTTATTGATTCTATCATCACAGAAAGTAATATAGTTCTGCTTGTAAAGAAGTGTTTATCTTTCTACTTTCCTGTAATAGTTTCTATCATACTTTTTATCAGTATCATCACAGGGACAATCCTGCTTTTGGTCAGCTGGATAGAGGACTCAGGGGACTCAATATATTCTTAATTTGCTTAATAAAGCATGGTGAGGGGCTGGAGAAATGGCTCAGTGGTCAAGAGCCTAGCTGCTCTTGTAGAGGATCAGGTTCAGTTCCTAGCACCCACATGGCAGCTTACAACTGTTTGTAAAATTCCAGTTCTAGGGGATCTGACTCCCTCATACATAACACACACAGATCAAACACCAGTGAACATAAAATAAAAAGATAAAGCATGGTGATTTGTAACTTTCATACAGGCTTCTTTGTTTTCCTTCCCTTTTTTTTTCTTTTTGCCTTATTTTATGTTTGTAAGAAAGACTCTCATTTTATAGACCTGTCTTTAACTGTGTAAACAAGACTACTAGACTAGCCTCAACCTCACAGCAAGCCTGTTGTATCAGCCTGCTCAGTGCTGAGATTACAAGGGTAAACCACCATGCCTGGCTTACTTATGTTTTATTTTTTTATTTTTTAAACAGAAAACCATCTCCACATATGCCTAAAACTTAGTGTGACAAAGATAGCCCACCAGAGATGACCACTTAGACAAAGTTATAGCCAATTCAAAGTCTTTATTCCAACAGGCTAGGACCACACCCTGATATCTGGCTGACCTAGGTGTGGCTCCAAGTGTCCTGAGTATAGGGTTTTTAAAGGCAAAACCACATTCTATCAGTCGGAAGCTACCTAGGGTTGGAGGGCTGGGCTTTGCAGAAGCAAGCAGTTTAACCACTGCAGCTAAATTAAGTGGTTAGCTGTAGGGGGCTCTGCACAAACAGGCACAAACAGACAAAGGAGCTAGGACATCCTGACCTTGGGTTCCTAGAGTAGAGTTGGGAAATTTTCTGGAGGATTCTCCATCAAGGAGATCAAATTCTAGTTAAATCTGAAATGGCCTCATCAAGAATACAAGATGGAGCAGCCTTTGCACTGTCTTGCCCAGTCACAATAGGAGGCCATATAGTTTCAGTGGATGCAACTTTTGACTTCTTCCTGTATTACAAAGGATTCCTGTATTACAAAGGATATGGGGTAGTCATATATTGACTTTTTAAGTTTGCTTTTATGATCAAGATTTAAAAAGACATTAAAAAACACAACATATTTTGTGTATCATGGCTCTGTAGCATGGTGCCTTGCATATGATAGATGATAGGTAGAATGATGAATCCTTTTCTTTTGAACCATCTACCTTATACTTGGTGTGTCTAGTTTAGTGTTACAAATATGGCTCAAGAAATTAAACAGTTGCTAGAGCAATTGCAAGGTGTACTTGAGGCCCTGAGTTTGATCCCCAGCCCAAACAGGAAGTAAACCAAAAAAGAAGTAAAAATAGAAACATTTAAAAAAGAAATAATACACTCTAATCAAAATTGAGTTGTTTTCCCTAGAATTAGTATAAATTTGAAGTTACCTAGGACTCCTTCTGGCACTTGCTCTTAGAGGTTATTGTCGAGATCCAAAGAGAAAATGTTCTGTGGTACATAGTGTTGTGCCCAAATTCCGAACTCCCAAATCACAGAGACCCATTCCAATAAAAAAGAAAATAGTCTTTTATTTTTTTCCTTTTTAAAATTTAAATTAGAAGCAATCTTATTTTATATATCAATTCCAGTTCCCTCTCCCATTCTCCTATGCCCTTCACTGATCCCCATCCCATCCCTCTTCTTCTCCATAGAAAGGTTGAAGCCTTCTATGGGAGACCATCAAAGTCTGTCACATCATTTAGAGCAGAGCCTAGGCCTCTATGGGGAATGGTCTCACTGTCCATTAGTACACTAGGTGTAATTGCAGTTCCATTATCAGGGGCCCCATAGACTGCCCAGGCCTCCTAACTGATACCCACATGCTGGGGCCTTTGTTCTGTCCTATGCTGGTTTCCAAGCTGTCAGTTTAGGGTCCTTGAATTCCCCTTGTTCAGGTCAGCTGTTTCTGTGGGTTTCCCCAGCATGGTCTTGACCCCTTTGCTAATCACTCCTCCCTCTCTATAGCTGGATTCCAGGAATTCAGCTCAATGATTACCTGTGGGTTTCTGCTTCTGTTTCCATCAGCTACTGGATGAAGGCTCTATGATGGCATATAAGGTAGCCATCAATCTCATTATAGGGAAGGGCATTTATGATAGCCTCTCCCCTTTTGTTTAGATTTTTAATTGTATATCTCTGCACATTTCCCTAGTGCTAGATTTCTCTTTAGATATATAATGGCTCCCTTTATGAAGGTATCTCTTTGCTTGCTCCCTTTTTTTTATTATTTAATGAGTTAATTTTTTTAACACTGCCCTTTGTCTGTTCATGCTGGATGGAGTGAGAAGGACCCTGGGGAACTGTGAGGTGGAGAATTTATTGGGTATGCAAGGGGAGTGTCTACGGGTTTGCAAAAGTCTCAGGATTGATGCAGTTCCAGGCTTGGGCGTTCTGTCCTGTGTTGATCGGTCAACTGGTTGTTTTGGCCTGTAGGCACTCTCAGGGTGGTTGCTATGCTCTGCAAGGCACTGTTATGCCACTTTTACCATAAAGCATGCTCAAAGCTTGCCAGCTAATTTCTGAATGGTTTCTTGCCATATGGAGTGTATCTGACCTCCTAGTGACTAGGACTGGTCCTGCAAGTTCAGAAGGCTGGAAACTCAACATGTGCCGAGGCCTACATCTTGTTGAGTCTTTTCTGCACCCTGTCATAGTTGCTAAAGCAAGGGCCTGGGTGAGGGTCTTGTCCCATCACAAATTATTTTAAGGCCTGATATTTTCTTATCATAAAAATTTGCAGACTATGATTGGCTCTTCTACCATGAGCCAACAAAAATTAGATGATAGCTACATTCATAAAATGAGATGGAAAATTCATGAAGAATTAATGTTCATTGCCTATAAAACTATACAGAACCTGTGAGACTCAACACTTTATTTTAACTACTTTGCCTAAGAGATTCATGAAACAAAAATTTCTCTTACCTCTAAGCTCCTTTCCCAAGGACAAATACTTCCTGAAATGCTGGAGGCTGTTTGTGGGAGATAGCAAGCCACATGTTTTCACACCTCTAAACCAATGTGTTTCAGCCCAACTACATCAGAGGTGCTTGATTACTTGTGGGCAGGACTTCACAGGAAGGAAATACATCAGGGTGTACACTCGCTCCTGATTGGACCTGACAGGAAATTTGGTGAATTGTGGGTTTGGCCTATTTAAGCCTCTGCAAACTGAAATGACTGTGGGCCATTTTCCTTGGAACTCAGGTATGATCAGGCCAAGGGCCATGATTCAAATTTGGCTCTAAATCATGATAGTGGTCTTCTTCTTGACCAGTGGGATTAACCATCCAAGTGTATATTTAATGTTTTTCAAATATTTGTTTAATGAGAAAACTTATTGCATCATATATTGTCATTTAAACAATTTCTATATATAGTTATGTTAGTAGAGCATGTGCCTTGTATAAGAATGGGTTTGATCCCCAGTATCACAAATAAATAAAATAAAATATATAAAACAAAACAATATAAAATACAAAAACAAAAATGATAAAAGTGTATTTATATATATTCACTTCTTCAGAATGGTTTCTAAGAAAAATAAAGACTACTTTTAAAGTATAATTTTTACATAATTTTTATTGATCCTTAGGGAATTTTATATCATGCACTCTAATTCCACTCATTTCCCAGTCCCTTTATCTGTCCTTCACCCTTGTAGTGTCCCCCTCAAAGAAAAATTGAAAGAAATAATAAAAAATAAAAATTTAAAAATACAAATAAGAATATTAATTAACAGAAACCAAACATGCAAAAGCAAATAATAAAACAGTTCTCTTCTCTATCTTTTTTCACCTCTTCATTCCTCTTAGTGGCATTAGAAGCTGCTATGTATCATGCAGTAAATCCTTTTGTCAAAAGAGCTTTCCTTGCAGATGTTCACTGTGTAATAAGTTGTTGGTCAGGTTCAAGTCCTCTGGTTCCTGGTGCACTATGAATACTACACCCTCACAGAAACTCTGTTTAGATATCTTGCTGTTGCCTGGCGTCAAGGAAATCCTAGTTCCTTCAAGCTCTTCAGCAGATCATAGATAGGGTAAGTGTTCCGAAATGCCAACTCAAAGCCAAAAGTGGCCCTGGATGTGTGCCTGAGTGGCAGCTGAATTGACCAGTCCAGGTTGCTGGGACCAACCCCCTCAAATGAGGGGCAGAGCCAGATCTCCCATTTCCATGGTGAAGGTGGGGCCAGCTTTCCCTAGAGCTGGAGCTGGCTCTTCCATGTTGGAGTCATTAGTGTCTTTTAGCCCAGGGCTGATGAGCTGCAGGATTATCTTTCCAGTGAGAGTTGGGACAGCTCAGCCTAGTCCCATTACCTCAGTACATAAGGGTTCAACACATGGTTTGTATGGGCCCCTGTGTTAACATGGGCCATGGACATCAACACAGAAACAAGCTGCAGCAGGACCACAGATCCAGACAGATGTGACCATCAGCAGCATCCTGGGTTTGGATGGCACCATGACCCCAGGCTACACAGGCCTCTCAGATTGGCTTAGGCCCAGCAGCAGCATGGCACTCTGACTCCCAACAAGGCCCCAGGTGGCAGCCCAGACCCTGGCAGTCACACAGCCTTTGAGGGTAACAGGATTCATGAACTTCAACACAGACCATGACTGCAGTAGGGCCACAGACCCAGACATGGACCTGGCCACAGATTGAGCCTAGATATCACCATAGCCTTTGGGTGGCAGCACAAGCCATCCCATCTGTATGGCCCTGGCAGCAACATGGGTATAAACATGTCCTCAGTGCTCAGCCA